ACTATGATGATAGGTAGAAGAGTAGCTACAGGAATGTCAAACAACAGAACTAGAAAGACAAAGCATGATGCGACACACAAATATAACTAAAATTGGAATGATGACATACATTGTGACAGCGCGCGAACCTTCAAGGCCCACCTGTGAGCTGGCAGTACTGGATCTTGAGGCGCAGCAATGCTGCCTCCTCAGCATGCGCTTTCGCTGACGACTCGTGCATCCTGGCCTCCGCTTTGCGGAGGTGGATCTCAGTGTCCTTCGCCTCTTGCGAACGTTGATGGACGGTGGTGGCATCCATGCGCTCGTCCTGGCGCTCAGCTTGGAGGAACCGGTGTTCGTTTTCCTGCCGGGTGAGATTGAGCTTGGCCATGTACCGATCGTTCTTGAGTTCCTCACGAGAGACCTGGGACAACTTCTCCGACTTGATACTCCCGATCTCGTCAGTGATGGCGCCAACCTGGCTCAAGATGTCTGAGCGCGCCTTCTTCGACGGCCGACCCTTCCACTTCTCAGAGCCCGCGGACTGCGATGTCAGAGTTGTCGACATCGCAACTGACGGCATCGATGTCGGTGTCAACCGCGAACACGAAGACCCCGACAGAGGCTTGAGCAACCCCGCTCACACGTCTCATAGGGTCAGGGGTGGAAAAGGCAGCGCGGCTATCGCGCTGCATCATCTGTGGCTTCTCGGGGAGTTTGAATTCAGTACAAGGAGGGGGGGTGATAGAAGGCGATGGGGTGGATGGGGGGAGCTGGCGTTTGTGGGTGGACTGGCGCCTGGGGGGGCTGTTGAGGTCCGTGACGTTCTCACCATAATCGGCCGTCACACGGGACCCAGTTATGCGCATGTCGTCGTCATAGTCCATTCCCCCATCCTCATGATTGAGGGGGGAAAAGAGCTGGCCTTGGCCAGGATGAGAGTGGGGGACAGGTGTTTGGATGTGATGGGGGGTGGGCGCTGAAGGGTGGGTGCTAGGCGCATAGTGAGGCAGGGCGCTAGGGCCAGGGTGATGGACGTAGCTGCCATAGCTAGCGCCAAGGACATTGGAATGGAGGGCAGGCTGAGCGCTGAGAGGAGGGGGCTGGGCGCCTTGCGCCCAGCCCCCAAACTGAGCACTGGGAGGAGGGGGCTGTGTGCTAGGCGCATAGCCCCCATATCGAGCGCTTGAAGAGGATGACGCACTACCAGCAGTGCTCGCCTGCACGAGGGAAAAGTATTTGGACGCATGGTCCACCCCCGGGGCCGATGATATTGTCTTGAGGGACAGGGCTGGGTTCCCCCCAAGGATAGCAGCGAGGTTGTCGTACCAGGAGAATTCCTCCAAGATTTGTGCTATGAACATAGTCAGTAGTAAAATTAAATTAAACAAAGCACGTACCATGCAAATTTGCTGCAGTCGTTTCATCAAGTGGCATGACACCAGCGCCCATCGAATGTAGTTTATCGTGGAATTCACAATATTTTTTCCTCAGGCTGTAAAGGAGATAAGTTTACATACATACAAAAATAAATAGGAGGGCACTCACCCAGAGATATGGCTGTTTGTGGAGTCACGGAATCTTTCAGGATCGTCGGGATAGTAGTTTGCGTATTCGGGATCGTTCTCGAAGACAGACTTTGCGATGATTTGGCAAATGGATACCTTGTCTTTGGCCAAGGGGCGATCACCGTCAGCGTGCGACTTATTGTCAGAGTAGAATAGGACGCGACAGTCAGCAGGATGTGTGCGAAGATGTTCCATGATTTTTTCGGTGTGCCTAGGGTCAGCTTGCCACTGAACACTGAATTTGGGGGCGCACGCTTGGTCTTGACCACTAGTACAAGTACTAGTGGTCGAATGTACTCGCGATCCTCGAGCTTTCCCTTTCCCACGAGTGGTATGTGGCTGGGTGGGTTCCATGGTGGGTACGACCTTCCGCGAGTAAGTGTGCAAGGCTTTGAGTCGCGCAGAGCGACGAGGACATGGTGGTCGAAGGGCAGGCATAATTTCGAAGTCCGCCGTCATGCCGAAGGGTGCCGCATGTCTTGCGCGTGTTGGGTGGGCGCTCGGCCCAGCTTTATCCGAGTTTAGCAGGCTTTAGCGACCTTTAGCGATTTTCCCAAAACCTACCGTGAGTCCCACTAATGTGTCACCCGTGGGTGACCCATACCATCTGCGGACCCACCCGTGGATCCACCCCCACCCGTGGTACTCTCACCCGCACGGGTGCGGGTAGGCTTCTGAAGTTCCATCCACCCGCGGATTGGGTACGGGTGCCACCCGGGTCCACCCATGTCACACCCTAACCAAGGGCACTTACACATCGGGGTGAACGATATTTAAAAGAGGTTTATATGTTGTACAAAATGTGAAGACAATATTTAATATTTAAACTAACATAAAGATGGGTGCACGACTTCAAATTTTGGTGGTGTTTTGTGTGTCATCCAAAATATCAAATATTCACAACCATATTCCCACAGACAATATGTCAACAAACATAAGAAATATAGTCAGATTTTTCATGTCTGCTTCAACTTAAAGTTCAATTTCCATATAAAACTTTGGAGAAAACTTGAAGTTTTACAGATGACATGACATTAAAACTCGATTTAAATGTCAAGCTTTGGCAAAACTTCAAGTTTTCTCCAAAGTTTTATGTAAGAATCAAACTTTAAATTGAAGCAGACATGGAAAATCTGATTATATTTATTATATTTGTTGACATATTGTCTGTGGGAATATGGTTGTGAATATTTGATATTTTGGATGACACACAAAACACCACCAAAATTTGAAGTCGTGCACCCATCTTTATGTCAGTTTAAATATTAAATATTGTCTTCACATTTTGTACAACATATAAACCTCTTTTAAATATCGTTCACCCCGATGTGTTAGCTCGCACCTCTCAAATGGTTGTACGGCACTCGCATGCTATATAACATTCCCCATGGTCATGGAATACTGGTACGTACGCCGGCCGTGACCGCAGCAGCGTAGTCTAATCTCGAGGAGTCTAATGGCTTATCAATGTGTGTCAACTTCGGGACCGAGTTTTGTAGGTCAAATAACCAATGGTCACTGGTTTTATTCAAGCTCTACGTCATACGCCTTAAAACATAGACCCGTGGAGGCCCCACCTCGGTGCGAATTTCTACAAATTCTGACGAACAATTGGCGGATGCGGTACGCCTGGCGGTTGACCGAAGTTGTGATAACCGATAGTATTGGCTAACCTCTGACTAACCAATTTTTCTCCTTTTTTACAAGGCCTCGGACCCTACCTTTACGGTCTAGCATCGTGGTCACACATGCCGTTGTCGGATAAGTACAACATACTGCATTCATTTATTCCGGATGTATATGTGAAACGGGCCGATTCTGACCTGGGCACGTATATAAGTTCTGCAGGAAGCTCTGGACTGGACCAGCGACGATTCGCCCCTCTTTCAACTTTTGCACTCCTCATCAGAAACTATATTTCGGAAGTCATGGATGCTCGCCCAAAGACGATATACCTCCCAGACACCATGGTCAGCTGGCCCTGGCCTCGTACCATCAATCCTCATTACGAAGATGTGAAAGCTGAAGTCGATGCTTCATTCCGTGATTTCAAGGCACTGAGTCCTGAGTTGCAAGAAGCATTCGACAAATGTGATAATGGTTCGGCCTATCTCACGAGCCCTCAATTCTGACTATGATTAACATATTCTTATAGCCCGCCTATCAGCACTGGCTTATCCCAACGCACCAAGAGGTTCGTCGTACTCTGGCAATTAACACATCGCAGAACCCTGATTCCGTTCCTGAACAAAATAGAACACCTTCGAAGCGGTTGTGACTTGTTGAATTTATTCTTCATTGTGGATGAGTACACCGACATCGAGAATGAAGCAGTCACGAAGGAAATGGTGAACATCGTGCTTGATGCCTTAAACAATCCTCATAAGATACGACCAGAAGGCGAATGCATTCTTGGCGAAATTACGCGACAGTAGGTGCTTCTGAATTGTTTGACGATCATCTGAAGCTCAAGGGGTTTTTGCATAGATTTTGGGCTCGCGCGATCAAATCCGCAAGCCTGCCTTCTCAACGTCACTTCCTTGAAACCTTCGATGAATACATCAATTCAGTAATTGTCGAGGCCCTCGACCGTGAGCAAGGCCGGAAGCGCAGTCTCGATGACTACCTCAAGCTCCGGCGCAAAACTATTGGCGCAAAGCCTTGTTTCCTAATAACAGAGATGGGGATGGACCTTCCTGATGAAGTGTTCTACCATCCCGTCATCATGGATCTTACTGATTGCATCGCAGAGCTCATGATCATCGATAATGTAAAGCGATATTGAGAACGTCATAATTTGCGGTCTGCTAACATCTTTCACAGGACATGATGTCGTACAACAAGGAGCAAGCGGCTGGGCACGAATCCCATAATTTGATCAACATTGTCATGTTGGAACTGAACCTCGACAGAGGCAGCGCGATGGCTTGGGCAGCACATTATCATGCTGAAGTTCAGAAACGATTTATTGACGGTCTTGCGAAGGTTCCTTCGTGGGGGCCTTCTGACGACGTCCTAGTCAAGGAGTACCTTAACGGAATAGCAAACTGGGCTCTAGCAAACTATTCTTGGAGTTATGAGAGTCAAAGGTAATGAGACTTTCTCGTTGGTATGAACGATCACTTAACCCGATTGAAATTGTAGGTACTTCGCCACCAAGGGCCCGGAAATACAACACACTAGGCTTATCCCGTTGTTGCCAAAGGTCAGCGCCGGGCGCTCACAACTACTATGTGCAGCTCCTTCCGCATGAGCTGATCCTAATTCTTCTTGCACTTCGTTGTGATTAAGCTACAATATATATGCCTTCGCACTGCCGCTCGCAGGTGTTACTCTCGTCTTGTCATTTTCCTACCTTCCAGTTGATTAGAAAGTTGAAGTGATATGCCATTCCCATTCGTGTAATAATAGCTCAGTTCTCTGAACATTGACCAGGTTTTGCAATCACTAAATGTTAGCAAAGACACATCTCGAGGCTGTTTGATTAATACCGTCATCTACCTGAAACATTACATGGCGTCAATAATTTCTTTCAGTTGTACTTCATCTAGTATCGCAAATCCTTTCTGTGGCGTGACCTGTGGCGAAGTTGGTTACGAATATTTGAGAGAGAACGTAGGGAGACACATGCCTGTGCCAACTGGACGTTGTGGTGGTCTAGTTTCTCCTCCATGACTTGCTTTAGAACTCGCAGCGTCAGTTTTTGTGCCTCAAGCAACGTCATTTGCTGTTCAATTGTGTGTTGAATACCAAAAAAACACGTTCAAGAAATGAGAATTCTACCTTATGCCACTTGTCTTGTAGCTCGCTTTGTGCTGCTTCTGAGCCTGACCCTATGGCTTTTGCATTATACCGCATGAAGGTGCCCGAGGGATCCGTGTGGTATCTACCAAGGGTCCGTATATGATCAGGTCGAACAAGGCTATCCACTCGATTGCACTCACAGTTGTGGTCCCAGTTCGTCGACACCAGCAACAAGCAACGCAACACCAAACGGCCGACTCATCATCGCCTCTTCGTCGTGCACACTCTCACCAAATCGCAATGCCAGATCACACACAGCCTGAGTGACACTCTCCACTTTAATCTTCTCGTCATAAGTAAAAGCGTGGTTCTGGGCGGTGACGCGTGCGTGGTCAATCATTGTGCGAGCGTCAGCTGTGAGGCCTGACATTGCGCATCCTAGATGGGTATCGATTTCCATAATCTTTTCTATGGAGCTTGATTCTAGGAGTGGAGATTGGACGCGCTTCTCAACTGCGAGGACTACGCCGTCGGGAGTGCGTACGCCAACTGTTGTCGATCCGAGCTGAGAAAGATGAGATATACGCTGCCGTATGGCACGATGTAATGCGTACCTTGATAGCTTCGATAGCATATTCAACTATATACTTTCAATAACAATTTCAGAATGTCGGGTTATCTAACGCACCTTGGAACAGTCGACCTTCTGGGGAGAATGTGTTGACACCACGATCTGCAAATACAATGAGATCTGTCATATGACAGCGTTGGGCCCTCAAAATTAACATACCGTACTCGGAACGCGTCAAGAACATGGTTTACAGGTAGCAGAGAAGTGGAAGAATGAGGGGTTCTGCTTTAAGTGCACTTGTCGACGCGCGTCGATCAAGCTGGCTGGCGTGTGGAAAACACTTTCCATTTGCGGATTTGTGCGATATCTTCAGCGCTTTTGGTTTGTACTTTTGTACTCTAACCTGCATCTCGAAAAAATGATTGACTGATTCCAGACTACCTTTTTCTATGCTTTACTGTCCAGCCTAGTAGCGTTGACATCCAAAAGGCTTCATTTTAGCTCGGCTGAACAACATTATCGTAGCGTCATCGACAGGTTCAGGTGGCAGCTGACAGCGTTGATATCTCAACCCAACCCAGCTCCCACAATCAACAACTTGTTATGAGAGGCGAGTATCTCTGATGGTGACCACTCTTGGTCCTCGTAAGTCTGGATCTCACCTTGCACTGTATGTTCTAAACAACATCTGAGAAGGTACGCATGCCCGTTTACAATTATCATCTTCTTACTTATCCCCAGATACGTTGATCATAGCACCCTCTTCATTCACGATTACCATGTTCGATGACTCTGGTCCCTTCATCCCTTTCAGAAGAGTGTTTAGCATTGTGCGTTTGAATACGTCGTTGCTAGCAAAGACCTTGGCATGTTTTTAGTGGCGTGGTCGCGTCAGCTAGTCTTGTTAAACACCAGTCGCTGCAGAGATGATACATATGCATCTAGATCTGCTAGTTAATTACAAGCTCAATGATATCAATAGATCTCTTAGAGGTAATGTTCTCGGCCCTCGCAAATCGGCTAGCTGGTGGACTTAGCTCAGCTCAACTCAATTACTCCACTTACTTTCGACCACTATGTCAGCCAATACACAAACATTGAAACCCGTCGACCTGCGTTCTATCTTGACTTTCACTGTCAAGCTCGCGCGTACTGCCGGTACATTGATTCTTGAAGGCTCGCAAGCCATTCAGTCAACTTCGGATGTCAATGAGAAGAAGAATTCCGTTGATTTGGTTACTGAATACGATGTTGCTGTCGAGGAGCTCGTGAAGAGCGAAATCACAAAAGCTTACCCCAGCTTCAAATTGTGAGTCCATAAAACGCGCAGAAACGGGATGATGCTGATCGATCGATCCATGTCTTCAGCATCGGAGAGGAATCATACTCCTCTGGAACACGCAATGAGCTTACAGATGAGCCGACATTCTGTGTTGATCCGATCGGTGGGCCACGATCTGCTATTGAGTTAGTTGAGATCTAACAGTGACTTTCAGACGGCACCACGAACTTCGTCCACGGCTTCCCATTCGTTTGTATTTCTCTCGGGCTGATCTACCAGAAGCGGCCTGTTCTGGGTGTCATATACAACCCCTTCCTAGATCACCTTGTGCGCAGTATACTACTATCGCATTGAACGCAACCACTGACTCTTACACAAAGTACACCGGGATCGAAGGCCAAGGATCATTCCTTACCCGTGGTAATGGCCAACCTCTAAAATTACCCCTTACCAACCCTAAGCCCCTCCCCTCCTTGCAGAAGGCTCTTCTGGGTATGTCATTCGTCATGCACGAGAATATCCAAACTTACTTTCCCAGCTGTCGAATGGGGCTCTGACCGTGGCAAAAAGACCCTGGTACCAAAATCCGATTCATTCTTGCGTCTCGCGGGCGATCCTGCAGATGGCATCGCAGGGGGACGGATGGCTCATTCCATACGGTCCCTAGGTAGTGCAGCGCTTAATATCTCAATGGTTGCTCAAGGTGGCCTAGATTTGTTCTGGTGAGCCGTATCATTGCACATATTACACTTCATGACACAAACGTGTTCCCCTGACGCAACGTGGATAGGGAAATCGGTTGCTGGTAAGTGTGCTACACTTTTATGTTGACCATCACGTTAATTCCCAACAAGGTCATGGGATGTCTGCGTAAGTAGACCTGTTGTATATGCTCGATTTCTTCACCTCACCTGTTTCTACAAGGCCGGTATCGTTATTGCCCAAGAAGCGGGTGGTGCAGTAGTTGGGTCTCATGCAGCTCTGGCCGCTGCAACATCTGCTGGCTCTAGCATTGATCCTTTCAAGGTCACGCCAGAGGTCTTGACAGGTCGCAAGTATTTGATCATCCGTGCTATTCCGGACACCCCCAACGAAACGGGTAGAGAGGCGCAATTGGGGATTGCTAGGGATTTGTACCAGACTGTGGAAGATAGTGAACCGAAGTAGAGTTTTCCTCGCTGGATACTTCAAGGTGCATAGAGTGGGATACGAAAATGATCCAACGTGATGTATATCGACCCGGTGCATGTTATTGGATACTTAACTTAGCATTCTTGGAGAAATAGCTCGTAAAACACAACGGCAGGTCGCGATATTACCAGACGAATAGTGCAACAGCGTCGTACACATACATGAGCCAAAGGTGATCGGTGATGTCGGAAGGGATGCCGGCAGCCTGACGACCAAACACCATCAATGTCGAGGCTATGAGCAGCTTACCAGGGGAATACCGGCGGGCTAGGATAACATTTACATCACCAAACGCTAGTTCTCCCTACAGACTCCAGAGGCGTTTGGACCCACCATAGTAACATGTCTGTCGACACTTCAATTTTTTTTAGCTAAGAGGTGCATTCACTGGACTCACTCACGGTTCACCTTGGAATTTTGAAATGCCACCGGCCCATCAAGCAGCTTGATGTGAAGTTCGTGGGTTATTTTGGGCTATGCAGTACTAATTATAGATCATTTTGTCATCGACATACGTGGGACTCTGTGATCGGAGCTCGGCTGTTACAGACCTGACAACCAAGTCACACCGACCCGTCATGACAGATCTAACATGACAGCTTTGCAATGCAGATCGCAAAGTTTGGCTGTGGTTTTCTGGTTAACTACGAGTTTGGCGTCGACATTCTCCAGACGAAGCCTTGCTTCAGTCCCTGAAAATGTGGTCGCGAACTCTTTCGCCGACGCGGAAGATTCAGTTTGTTCACAATTTCGACGTGGTCTCACTGGCATCGTTTCAGCTCAATCCTATTTTGGGACCAATTCAGCGCCTTGTTGTGGGCAGGCTAAGGGCTGTGACTGCAGTGCTTGATATAGCTCTTCTGGGGACGCCAGTCACGTCCCGTGGAAAATAACGACTGCGGCAGAGTCTAAAACAAGCCCTGCATGGGACTAGGACGCATTCCGTGTGACAAAGTCATGCTCTCTCAAGGTGCACGGTTGCACTACTAGCTGCTCTCTCCATTCCACACTCCTTCCGCTAGTCGTCCCGCCTACCTCACAGAAGCTCTTCTTCCTTTGAGCACAACAAGCCATGGATCGTCAGCTTGATCTGCAGCGCAGACAACAGAATGGAAACGCTTCAGTTTCAGCTTCCCCTTCAGCATCAATCTCTGGCTCGGCATCCCTCGTAAATGGGAGTACCCCATTGCCAACAGTCCCGACAGGAGCTCAAGCTGGATCAATCACTATAACGATGCCTCCCATTCAATCTAACTCCTACTACAAAATTGCCCCCAGTGAATATGTTACGTTTGGGTGGAACTTTTCGAGCATCATTGTGACACCCACCGCCCTCACTGTTGCAGCAGTTGCAAACGGGAACACATACCCTATAGGCCCCACCGATGGTGTCATTTCTGGGACCGCTCAGAGCGTGGTCTGGTATCCATATGGCTATCAGACCGCAAACCCTAGCCTTCCACTGGTTCAGGCAAGCTACACACTTCATATTTGGGCTCAGGGTGGCCCTAGCGCATTCCCCACGCCTGGTTATCTGGAGCCAAACAGCGAGCTTGTGTTCGCTATGTATACGCCACAGGGATACACACCTTTATCTAGTGGTAAGTCTAGGTTCGCCTATACTGGCCGTTTATCTTATTCTTGAATACACTCAGGGTGGCAATGTGCCGGATGCTCAGGAGCGTTACCCCAGCTTAAAATAAACTCGGCTCTTCCCGGTGTTGTCGCAATGATTATTATAATGCTGCTCTCTGGGTTCACTACCCTTCGCCGCGTTTGGGATTGATTGGAGTTGACCTATGATTCCCTAGGTCTGGTTTCTCGGGGTCGTAGAGGATGGTCCCATTTGATTGACATTTAATGGATTATTATGGTTTGTAATTGGACTGGACATTTACATCACATGTAGACTTCATACACATTGTTTGGCACGATATATATGGACAGGTAATGATGTTACACTTAGGTTAGTGTCAGAACCTTTTGCTGATGTCATTATACACAGTACTACTGTCATTGATCGAAGCCTATTTTACCTGCGCAGCTTGGACACTAATGGCATGTTCGTGTATTGCTCGGCCTATTGCGCTGTTTCTTGAATGAAACTGGAAGCCTATTCCCGGTACATTACCGGTACCCTGACCCAACCACATGCTATTACCGAACTTTCAGCGCGATTTGCACCAGACTGACCTATTGGCGTCCAAAGGCGTGTCCGCGGGTGAATGGGGTTTTTCCCTTGAGCGCTCCCCTATGTTCGTAATATAATCTGGGAGGGAGCTGTTCATTCTCCTACGTCGGCAGTTCAACGACATCTCTGGAGGACTTCAGTCGGTGACTCAATTCGATTATCGGTGTGACCGCTGAGGCATCTGGTTCGGATAACTACAGGTATAGTTTTCAACCTTGATTTTTGAGGAGCATGGGTTCGTGGCCGACCATTATTCTCATTCGTTCTCCTGACTGATCTCATCCTCCTTGTTATCGTTATCAGGGTTCGTACCTGACTTAGCGAGTCATGGAACTCCGATTCCATTCGTCAAAAATACAGCTCAAAATCCGTTGTGGCGTCGAAACTTCTACCGGCGCATTGCATGTAATGTAAAGCTGTGACGGAGTAGGCGCTACGGATAAGAGTATATAAGTATAGTCACCACAGCCTTCACAAATATTTTCCTGAGGACATCATAGAAACACGCCGGTCCTATCCAGTGATACTGATTTACCTTTTTGACACCATGGCCAGTGTGGCTACGTAGTACCGACTGACGGTCGGCCGGTGTCTGGTTTCAGGATTTGAACGGCGGTAGATATCTCGTAACAGTTCCAGAGAGCTCTCGGAAAGTCCAATCTGGGTTGCACCACAGCCAGCACCTGTCCAACGAAGGTTTCGGTTCGCAAGACTGACCCTACCCTTGGGAACTCATGTGACAATGGCTTAGTTGATCACGTTGACAGTCCGGTAAGCATATGTGCCGGCTTATCACTCCATTCCAATGCTCATTGAAATAGGCAGCTCATTCAGGCCTATTCCCGATACTATCAAGAAGACAAGCCAGGTCGGTGACTATGTACCATATCAAGCTCTTATTACAGCAGAAGCTGTTAGAAAGCAGACGCGCCACAAAAACGATGTAGAAAAGACATTTAGCTAACCTTTGACTAGCCAATTTTTCTCATTTTTCACAAGGCTGACCCTACCTTTACAGCCTGACGCTAACAGAAACATGGTCACACCTGCCGTCGTCGGATAAGCACAATATACCGCATTCATTTATTGCGGATATGTAAAGTAGGCTGATTCTGACCTGGGCACGTATATAAGTTCTGCTGAAAGCTCTTGACTGGACCAGCAACAATTCGCCCCTCTTTCAACTTTCACACTCCTCATCAGAAACTATATTTCACAAGTCATGGATGCTCGCCCAAAGACGATATACCTCCCAGACACTATGGTTAACTGGCCCTGGCCTCGTACCATCAATCCTCATTACGAAGATGTGAAAGCTGAAGTCGATGCTTCATTCCGTGATTTCAAGGCACTGAGTCCTACATCAGTGAACCGATGAACATATTAAATTGTCATAGTAGACTATATATTGATAACAAACACAACAATCGTCGACAATGTGGCGGGGGGGGGTTACGTGACATTATACAGGAACGGTGAATTTTTGAGATAACCAACCAAGTTGTCCTATGTCCAACAAATCATCTTCTGCTTAAATTGTCCCGCAAATGAAAGATGAAACTCGAGTCAAAGAAGTAAAATGCGAGTCCGTGGTTGTCAGGACAGGCCCAACAGTTGCTAAATACTACTGGTGCGAGGTCCATTCCTCATGCGAGAATCTGCAAAACGATATACCCGGCGCGAAAACCATAACTCTTCATACTACTTGTGAATTGCTGCTGTGAATATTCGGTTGCATAATGAGAGAATGCGAAACTCACATTTGAGAACCTATTTGCTTGGTAAAACACAGGACCCTTGACTTCTACGTGTCGCAAGCTTGTATGCTTCACACAAAGTCTTGCGGCTACTTCACATCATACCCGTCATCAAAGTATTTTGTCAATGATGGTATACCGGTACAGATTAGAACAGTGCACTCAACTTATGGTATCGGAAGCTTCAAATAATTTTGGCTTTGACGTTCCAATCTTCACAATCAAGGGGTTACGTGAAAATTTGTAAGCCGCTGGTCTAGCCGCTGTATCGGGTTAGACATCGCTAAACTGCCATATTGAACAAAATACTGTGATGCCGCTCGAGTATCTGCCAGACAACACGAAAGTCAGATTTCCTTCATCAGCAACACGATCCGCAAACTCTAACACAAGAGGTACATTTGGTGGGCGGGAGAACTGTGGGTAGTTGTAAGCACGCTGGCTTACCTGAGTTCTCATAATCAGTACATATACCGTCGCTGATACTGAAAGCTAAGCTTTCAGTATTTCACCTTTTGGTGTAACAGTTATGCGTGGCGGCGGTCTGACCATGTTACAGTAGTGTTAGTATAGCAAAACAATTGGAGGCTGATAGGACCAATGCCAAAGAAAATATCTGACACAAAAATGTATACTTCTTATGCGCTGTCTGAGCAATAGTGGAGCGTTTGACTGAAATGAGAGATACAGCAGATGTTGAAGTCAAATTGCATGACTGTCAGTTTGGCGGCAGTCCCAAACAAGACGAGAAATATCTCCTGATGGAAAACATGATGGCAATCAATACGAAGGCGCGAGGTTCTGGAATCGCTTTTGTATAGGAAGACAGGTTGTTCTGATCAAACCTCGAGAAAGACGATAGAACTTATTGCTCCGTCCCACTTGAGCCCTGGATACAACAAATTTTGTTTGCCAGAATGATGTGCCCCTTTGGAAGTGAATAACAAGATGCCGGAGCTGCGAGGAAGCGATGGGGTGTGTTTAGACTGTCATTCAGGTACCAATCTGTCCGTGATTTCAAACAATGTGGTGGCTTGAACGAGTTGCACATTCCAATGAGGAGGATAGATTGTTACCAGGAGAGACGATTGTCTGTTAACTGTACTAACCACTGAGATATTTCTATGTCTGCCGCCGTTCCATCTCCTACAATTGTGTGCCTTTGATGTCTGAGATTGTCAACTGATAGTACTCCTCAGACCGTGACGGAGACTGTGGGTGACTTCCTGTACCAGGAGCATTTTACTTGCACAAATTTTCACGGTTGGTGCCACACGCAGGTAAGGGAACATTTGTTGTCGCAGTGGTGAATGTAGTTGGTTATGCACAGCGCATCCCTATGGCTGGACTGGATTGTGACGAAAAACAAGTTTGGTGGTAAATGGCATGCTAGACAGTAATTACTTAATGCACCAGTGCTACTATTATCAGCGAGCTCTCAAATGATATTCAATCTTGATCACAAACGGTGGGATGCGATATCGTGATTGCATTAAGAAACAATGATATTATAAAGCCTATATATGATGACAGAAGGTAAAATAATGAATGACCTAGTCTGAATCAAAAGCAGCGTCTTCTAGCGCCTTCCTCTGTTCTGCCAGTGCTGTGACGGACATTTTGGATACAACCTCTGGCGTGAGGTCCTCACGATGGTTTTTTCCAAAAACCTTTCTAAACAGGTAAGTTAGATATGGGAAACATGTGCAACAATATAATCGATACCTGGTCCACCATTCAAGAAGTATGGTCACCCTACGTCACGCGACAGGGCCAGGGGCATCCTCGAAAAAGTCCACGATGTTGTTCCAGAATGCTTCGTAGTCGAAGTCACCGTCGACGATACACCAAGATGAGACATTAGATAGCGCGAACCGAACCTGCCACAGAAGATCGTAAGCCAGACGTTGACAGGGTGTCATCTTAACTGACCTGACAGGCGACATAAGCGATGGAGCGAGGAGTAACTTTCCTCATGTTAATGATCGATGCCACACACATTTTGACCTTGACCTGATTTAGCGCACGCCGGGTGTGCCTGTTGTTCTCGAGGATATCGGCTCCATCGCCATTGCCATCAGCTTCTTTTGCGGAAGATGGTGATGTAAAGATGGCCTTGAAAGCCTGGAGCCGTGATAAATTTGATAAGTATTCAGGACCACGACCCAAAACTACTAACCTGAACCAGAACCTTGGACATGAAAAGACCTTGCTCAAGGTTACTGCTGTTCACTGAGTAGTTTTCGTACACAAACAGCGGCCAAGAATTTTCCGACACGATATATTCTGACGTTCTGTCCCGAATACCTGCCTTCACGCTCCCCAAACATATCAGCGTCATATAATATCGATAAAGATTGATACTCACTAGTCCTTACTCCAGTCCCACTCAGCAGGACAGAGTAATTTGCCACAAATGTCGTGTGCAAAGCCTCGCGACTGTTTGTCATCGGACTTGAGTAAATTGGATGGATGGAAACTTTGGTTGACCCAGGCAGCGACCAGATCCTTGAGAGTGGAGGTATCGTCGCCGCGGGCCGCATCCGCTCCTTTTTTGATCTAAACACTCAATATGCAGCGTGAATAGTTCAGAAATTGAGAGCATGCACCTTTTTCAGCATATCCTCGGCGTCATTGGCGTCAAGCTCTGCAAGTCTTTCATGGATCCATGGAAGAGCGTTCGCCAGTGCAATATAACCACGCTGCAAGCGATTTTGACTAAATCATAAATCAAATAATATTGCAGAACCAAAAAAAAACGACTTACTCTGCAGTGGAATCCTGCCAGGCCTCTTCACATCTGCGATCATTCTCTGCAATCAAGTCTTCAATGTTAGCATAAAGGGCAACGATGCGGCGGACTGCTCGGCCTTGAGAAACATGGTAGGTAGTCTTTCTGTGAGGATTGACGAGTAAGAGGCATGTAGTGAACAAGATCGGCGATGAATCTCTGCTTTGTTCCTCTTTCTTGCTTCATCACCTGTAACTCCTCTTCTAGAGCAGCAATACGACGCTTCGCCCTTGCTTCTGTGGAGGTGGGTACTGCACCAGAGAGGTCTGGAAGTGCGAGTCCGTGTGTCGCATTGTGATGATCAAGCTCTGCCACAGACATGGTCGAAGCAAAAGGTGTTGAGTGAAGGATGATGGTGGAGAGAGTTAGAAAAAATGCAGGTAAGGAAACCCTGTTTTATAGTGTGCGCTCGCGCTAAATTTCAAGATGAGGTCAGTTATCCCAATAAGGCCAATTATCCTAACAAGGTATGGCGGGAGGAAACCGAAGAGCATTATGGTATCATAACATATGAAAAATCAAAATTTCGGCGTTGCACGAGGGCAAGTTGGGCCGAGTGTGCTCCAGATGGATTGAGAACGCTCAGGATAATCAGAGCAGCGTATGGTTTTCGACGATGCACTAGACAATACTTCTGATCATCTCTACCTGTTGTCTCCCAGTTTCCAGGGCTTCCGATGCGGTCTCGATGGAAGGAAGCTCAACGCGCTAACCAGCAAGCTACAAAGAGCACCATCGACGGGGCGATCAGTATGGTAGCACGCATGACAGCGGATCACGATTGGTTTCACCCATCCTGGAACTGGTGGCTTTATAGAACAATCCTGCCGAAGATGTTACGGATCTACATAATTAGTTGAGAAGTTGGCGACGATTGCTTGCGAGATGCAACACTTACTGTGTCGTTTAGGCTCTTCTGTCCCTCCTTGAACTTGGACTCCTCCACACGAGCCTTGTGCTCCAGGATGGCATTGATCGTTGGTCCTTCAAATGAATATGTAAATGAAAGTGAATTGGTGGAATGGGAGCATACCTGGTTACAGTACTCAAGGCCCAGATCATAGCACTCGAAGTTCTGTTGTAAATAAAAAAGAATCAGCTTGAAGTAGTAAGCACGTCGCGTGATGATACATTACTATATTACGATGGTGTAGAGACTCGAGAAGGCGAATCTTGATAGCACATTAATGTCAGTGTGCATGATATGTCAACATATCGTCACAGTTATGAACCTCTCGCAGTATGTTGAGCAGATAAGAGTGGGACTCTCCTATCGCGATTTTGACGAAGCAGCGTGTCAGATGGTTGCAAGTGGCGAAGCACCATGTCCCATTCGTGGACCTCACTACCCTGAGCTGCTTGAATACAGCTCGTGCGAAATCCTGGTCGATCGAGATGACCGGTTGTGTGGATGGGAAGCACAAGCATGGGTAAGAATAGCAAATGTTATCTCTGCCCGACATTTTTCGAGGTGTTGGACAATGAGTGTCTCACAAGTAAGGCCCATATTCTTCGTGGCTCGTCTGAATCAGCCATGCACTTTAATTACGGTATTTTTTTCGTAGCACCTTACGTATTTATAGCGCATTTTGAAGTCAAATCCGAACGACCTCTGCTGCGAGCGGCCTTGCGCGTTATTCTTTCAGGTATCATACTACAGCATCAGGTGTAGTTGATAAGTGGTACAGAGGAAAACTATGTGACTGAGGCAAAACACATGTGAGAGCAGAAACCTTGACCCCTGAAGATTCCAAGTTCATATACGATTCTGATACAATTGGAGATGAGATATAGTATGTTAGGGTCAAGTTTCCTTACGGCGCAGAAGTCGCACACTAACATGAGAAACACCCACTGGCACGCGCTGTTTTGCCTTCGTCCGAGTCTTAGCACGAGTATTGGTAGCCGGTGGGCCTATCGTCGGCTGGAGCTGCTCGAAGGCAGATTTCCGCTTGAGAGCTTTGGATGCCTTCGCGTACCATGCTGAGTAGCGGCGGTATGCAGTTTCATGCATAGCGCCCGCGATCTTTGTGATGATGTCATCCTTCCTGACGCAAAACTTGATGGTGGGGTCTCGTAGGGCAGCAGAATCGACGTCTGGATCAATGGCCAGGGCCATCGAGATGATCTGTTCCCTCAATATATTCACTCCCTTCTGAATCATGTCGATGACTGGGTCCATATTGTCTACAGGGTAGAGAGTCTGGGAAGAACAAACACATCACTTAAATGTGAATATTAAAATAATATTGGCTCACCCCCTCTGCCATGAAGTCTGGATCGCACGACTCAAGGTCTATAGCTTCGTCTCCTCTCACCCAAACCTTGAACGTTACCGACTCCACCAAACTCCACATGTGACCTTCAACAATTACTGGTGCATCGAGGGTTGGGAGTACGTTTGTCGCAGAAATAAAGTCCTTGGCTGAGCGAACGGACCCATCACGCATAAATGCCATCCGTGAGGGCGATTCTTTCGCTGGAGAAGAGTAGCGTTGACTTTCTGTCACCACAGCCATGATTATCATTTTTAAGGATGGATCTGCGTCAAGCGCGTCTTGCAACTTGTCCATCAGGACATCAGTGTGTTGGGAAAACACTGTCTCTCCGATGATGGGAATAGTAACCTCCGCTGCTACATCTCGCATATTTTGCAATGAAACCCTCAAGTCCGGGGCGAGGGAATCGGAGGCCTCAATGTTGCCCAATACATTTGTGTTGATTGAAGCGCGATCAAAAGGCAAATTTTTGAGGAAGCACGTGAACACGGAGTGCAAGGCGGTGAGTGGGGCGTCATGGACCGCGGATGGCATTTCGACTATTAGGGTGCTGTCTGAATCGATGTACGTTAATCTGTAGCATTGCGATGAAAATCGCCAAACAGATCAAAATATATTCAAAACTCACCTTGGCTTCAAGCCAAAATTGTGGTTGTCTTCGATAAATTCTACTATCGTTTCGAATTCCTCACGCCAGACCCCAGAAAACTCCTACAAGTGGTAATGCAGTCGGTGTTACTATCGTAGGTGCAGGCTTATCAATTTGATGACAGAGGCTTACTTCACACTCGTATTGACGGTCTGGCTTTGCAATGAAGCGAAGGACCTCCTTGGCCACACGGATAGCTTCAGGATGAGGGATTAGAAGTTACACAATATGGATGTGGTTTGCATTAGATGCTAACCTGCTGGCGAAAGCTCAGGATTGTCCCATGAAAAATGCTTGAAACTATGCAATATATGATGCAAACGATCTGATGGAGAAAGAGTAGTGACAAGATTGCACTTTTGTGCACTAGGTGGAGAGCTTTGGATAGGAAACCCAACCACAGGGGCATCCTCAACTACCAGATCTCTCGGCTCGTGAGTTTTCACATACTACAGTGACCTATCTCCGTATAATACGAGGGAACGGACATGCATAATATCCTGTATGGTATGGGCCAGCGGACCATGGGCCCATGATAAAAATATTCTTGACTATGACAGATGGGCCGGGAGGCAAATTATTCCCAATGGAGGCAGGTGGGCCCATGCAGGGAATATATAGAGTAGATGAGTGGGCCGATGTAAATGAATATTAGGTAGACGGGTGGGCTGAGGTAGCTGGATATTATGCAGATGGGTGTATTAAGGTAGATGTGTATGAGATAGATGGGTAGGTACTTGTTATCACATTCACGGGTGGGCCCAGACACATATTAAATTAGACGGGTGGGCCGAGGGTATTATAAAATATTGTATTATACGGGTGGGCCCAGACACATATTAATTAGACCGGTGGGCCGAGGGTGGTATACAATATAGATGGGTGGGCCCATGTGTATCATAATTGTAGACATGATGGAGCTGAGGTAGTTGTACATCAACCAAATCAGAGGAGGTAATAAATCAAAGTTACCAAGTTCCCGGAGCATCAGGTGATCTCCTGACATGGCAGTGCGAAGCTTGTGTTGCCCAACGAGACACCAAGTTCTGGCCACCAGAATTTGAGTCAACTGTACCGAGTTCCGAGTTCCGGGACCTGGAACTCACCACATAAGTTGGTTAATACTTTTTGATGGTGCACAGGTTGTCTTGCAGAATGTGGAATCCGGGGTGCGAAGCTTGTGTTGCCCTACGAGAAGCCAAGTTCCAAGTTCCGGGACCCAGAACTCAACACATAATTTAGTTAATACTTTCCGTGTTAAATGGCCAACCGAAGTTGAGATGTTTCTGAAGAGAGCAGCAGGTGCTCTCTTGACATGGCCTCTGATGGTGCTTAGGTTGTCTTGCAGAATGTGGAATCCGCGGTGCGAAGCTTGTGTTGCCCTACGAGAAGCCAAGTTCCGACCACCAAAATGTGAGTCAACCGTACTCAGAGGAGGTAATAAATCAAAGTTACCGAGTTCCCGGAGCAGCAGGTGATCTCCTGACATGGCTGTGCGAAGCTTGTGTTGCCCTACGAGACTCCAAATTCCGACCACCCAAATATGGGTCAACCGTACCGACCTCCAAGTTCCGGGACCCGGGAGTCGACAAATGAATATCTGATGACCAGCGAGTCAACCTTACTCAGAGGAGGTAATAAATCACAGTTACCAAGTTCCCAG